CCTGGTGGAGTGAGGAACTGCGCGGTGGGTCGCCCAATGGGCACATGTTTTTTCTTCGCACCACGGTGCAGGGACGTGCCATTCACTTGGTTCGGTGGAAAAATGGTCGGGTTGCGTTATGAAGAATCATAGAATACCAACCTGAACTTGAGGCCAGGGGGGAGGTACGAAAGCTAGCGGGGCTGGGGTAGGGTGGTAATCGTAAAGGGGGATTAGCAAGGTGAAGTCGGAATGCGGCAACGGTCTCACGCGGTTTTTTCGAGTTGCTGCAAGTCACAAACAGTGCCGATATTTTGATGTTGATGAGGTTGCTGACCAGAACGATGAAGGAAACTGATGATGACGAAAGTGATGGTAACAGGAATTAGTTGATGACGACGATGATGAGGACGAAGAGGATGATGAGGATGATGAGGATGCTGAGGATGCTGGGGATGATGAGGATGATGAGGATGGTGAAGATGAGAATGAAGGTGAAAATGAGGATGGTGATTGTGATGAGCAGGGCTGTTGTAGGGTTGCAAAATCTATTGAGTCCAGCAAACGAAAACCCCCCAATGCAGTAATCGTCTCTCGCCAAGTGTTGTAAACAAAAGAAACGCAATATCAAAAAAAAAAACGCCCCCCAAATGGAAGCCCGAATCTGCATAAAGACGTTCGAGACAATGCAACATATGGATGATGATGATACAGATGATGATGGGGATGATTATGTTGTTGTTGTTGTTGCTGATGATGATGATGAGGAGGAGGAGGATGATGATGATGATGATCATGATCATGATCATGAGGAGGAGGAGGAGGAGGAGAAAGATGATGAGGAGAAAGATGATGAGGATGAGGATGATGATGAGGATGTTGTTGATGATGATGACGATGATGATGCTGATGATGACGACGAGGAGGAGGAAGATAATTATGATCGTTTGGAAGCCGGCAAGTTTCCGATGATGATTTTATAGAGTTGTTGGTTGGTTTACTGAACATGACCTCCTGAAGATGAAATACTGAAGAGGACGACCCTGTACTTGCAGGAAACCAGTGGCTCAGCGGGACCAGGGGATGAGAATGCTGATCAACGATGAGGAGGACGAAAAGGATGATGGGATGAGGATGAGGATGAGGATGGGGATGAGGATGAGGATGAGGATTATGATGATGATGATGATGATGATGATGTGAATGCTGCAGATGATGAGGATGATGATGATGATGATGATGAGGATGATGAGGATGAGGATGAGGATGGTGAGGATGAAAATGAGGATGAACCTGGGCCTGCCAGGGGGGGCCAGCTGGAAAGCTTCAGGGTTTTCAATGGTCCTGGTGCCTACCTTTTCCTCGCTAAAGCAAGGGCAACTTCAGCTAGCACAGTTAGTTTTCGTGATTTGTCAATGGGGGAAGCCAAGCTTGAAAAAAATGCAAATGACAGATGTATCAAATGTCCTTTCTTGTCTGCAACCATCCAAAACATGGGTCTGACGGTCAAGGCGTTTGATTTGAGGTCAAACATGGTTGAAGCTGCTACTCGTGGTGAGGAAGGAAACAAATAAACAAACCAACCATTCAAGGGCTCGGTTGTATTAACGCAAATTCCATCAACAGCGAAAAACACTCAGAACCCCCGGTGTGACCCTGTAAGATAGCAAAAGGAATGTGAAAGGAATGCAGTGGAAAACTAAATTTTGAAATGGTTGCGCTTCATAGGATGCGGGTATATAATACCTGAGAAGGGGGGACGAAAGCCAGCCCCGAGCCCGAATCTTTTTGGTTCTGCAGAGAAATTTCCAGAGGTTCCTTCCTGCAATTTCCTCATTTTTCGCAACGGTTTACTCGAGTTCCTTAGTTTTTCCAAGCTTGCCATTTATTTTTTCCTCCAGTTTAATGACGGTATCACTCCTCATCCCCTTGCCAGCTGTCTTGCTCCGAACCCTAACGGACGCTGCTCTCCGTTGAGCTTCGGAGCCTGAATTTTTTCAATATGCTTGCCGCTACGTTCCCTTCCGCAATTTCATGCCTTTTGATCAGACTTTTTCCTGCGTTTTCCTGCGGTGCCTCCCCGCAATGTCTTCATTTTCCCAACGGTGTCCTCAAGTTTCCTTGGTTTTTCCAAGCTTGCCATTCATTTTCTCCTCCATTGTCATGTTTTTTTCAACATTTTCCTCTATTTTCCTCCATTTGCAACTCTTTGCCACGTCTTCCTCGGCATCACTCCTCATCCCCTTGCAAACCGTCTGGCTTCGAACCCCAACGGACGCTGCTATTGAGCTGCAAACCGTCCTGCTCCGAACCCCAACGGACGCTGCTCTCCGTTGAGCTTCGGACCCTTGGTTTTTTGAATATGCTTGCCTCTATGTTCCTAGCTTTTTCAAAGCATTGCCTTGCCTCCATTGCATGACTTTTTTCAAACCTTTTCCTATGTTCCGACGGTTTTTCCAGCAGTTCCTTCCTGCAATTTCCCCATGTTCCCAACGGTTTCCTCGATTTCCTTGGTTTTTCCAAGCTTGCCATTCAATTTTTCCCCCAATTTTCCTCCATTTTCCCTCTGTTTTAACGATTTTCCTGCATTTTCTTTGGTTTTTGCCTACCTTTTTCCTACCATGTTCAAGGGACCTGTGTTCAAGGGACCTAGGGGGAATCGAACCCCACCGTCACCAAATTGCATAGTGGTACATGCCCCCCCAAAAAAACCATTTGCACGGCCTAATCACCAACTAATTTCGAACTCCAGGGCCACCTGGGCAACGTCCACCCCCCACACCCCCTTATACTCACTTGGTTCGTGAAAACAACTTTGCCTAGCCTATCGGCTGGCTTTCGTAATATACACTGCCTTGCATAAGACAACGGTCCAATCACTGGTCCAAAAGGAGTTTTCCCAAACAAGCTTAAAATTTAAGGGGATACCCAAGAAAAAAATGATTCATCTATCCAGGCTGAAGCTGCATATGGCTATGATCTTTGAGGGTCGGCGCATAGAGTCAGAGCTAGGAAAAAATGAGGAAGCCCTGAAAAACTGAAAATGATTGTGAATTATTGTTCAGGCAGTTTCCTCTTCCTGAACAAACCAAGGCACCCATGCGGGGCTCCATTTCTTGACACGAAAAGATTCCTTTTTGCAAAACTTTTCTGCCAACAAAAGATGTCCATGTGCACAATCTCTTTTCCAAAGAAGGCATCCATTTCAGCGGCTTTCGGCAGGGCAGGACTTCAATGGTCAGAGGATCTTTGTCACAAACGGCATCCGTTTCTGGGGCGTTTTCTTAAATACAAAATTAAATCGCTTTGATGTTGAGAATATCTTTGTCATAAAAGGTATCTGGGGTTTCAATTTGAAGAAGTTGTCGTTCAAAAAAGGCATCCAGTTTGGGGGCCATTGGATTTTCGCAGAAATGGGCCACCCCAATCATCATCCTAATCACACGCAAATCAATCATCACTATTTTGGATCCGCACTTCACATTCGAGTCAGCAAGACTTTTTTTCACATGAAACCATTGAAATCCCAGGGCTAGCATCCTACTTACTGGAAGTTATCCTCATGATCCAAATCACATGCAATTCCTTCTGAATGGATCTGAATGGTTTCACATTGCCGACAGAACTAGACTAGGATCCAGAAAATTGCACACGCCCCTTGGATGATCTATATGATCTTAGAAGATTGATTCACGCATGGGATCTGGCAGGTTGTACCCCCAGGTTGAACCCCAACTACTAAGCATCCGCAACACCTATCAAGGTCATGCCACTGCGGCTTCTGCCGAAGGCACAGCGTGCTCTTGCGCAGCTGCAGCGCGCGTACTGCAGCCCACATCAGGCGCCCAACAAACGGCCGGACGAGTGGATGAATGCGGGCCCAAACCAGTTATTCGGGGGCGGTGGCAAGAGAATCCAATAAGTAGTCGTTTCTGATTTTTCTTGAAAACCTTCCAGGAACCTATCTGTTGATAGACCAAAGTTGGGACTGCTCATGACAGGTTTACTCATAAATGGCCTCCTCCAAATAAGTAGAAAGCAAAGGTTACAAAATCATACTAACATTTGAAAGCTTGTTTGACTATGGGACTATGACTATGGCAATTATGGTGCACTCTCTGGACGCATGGAACACTTCAATGCCACCCCGACCTGGCTAAAACGATTGAGGGTGGCATATGTCCGACATGTCCAAAACGTAGGTGGGTGATGAATAGGTTTCAGGGTCCTTTGTCCTGACATGGATGAAGAGCTGGCCAAAAATGACAGCCAAGGACCCAGTACATCAGGTACATCTCACTACGCTAAAGCTGCACATGACCAGAAGCAGCCCCCAGTTGCATCAAAATTCGACAGGCCTTTTGCTGACGCAAAACGATAAAAACAGCTAGGTCGTTTTTGCATCTGCATACATTTCCTATACAATAAAGTCTTGATTGGATACCAGGGTGCCATCCAAGCTGCCAAGATCTGAAGTCTGCACTGTAGCTGTGCCAAATGCTTTCCACTGAGGTCAACACATGCTCCCTTTTCACAGACTGCTTGGCAATTCGAAGCACCCATGTTGGGTTCTATATATGGTTCCATGGATCTGGGTGAAACGAGATAGGGTAAATATGAACAAAATATTGATAGATGATCATAGCCATTTGCGGCGCAACGTGCAGCAGGATCGCAGGTTGAAAGGCGTAGATCGGCCTGCAAGCTAGCATGCGGAGGTTTAGCGGACAAGGTCTTGATGTTCTGAAGCAATCCCAAGTTGCGGCAGTGGTGGATGGGGCAAACAAATCAAACAGACTGACGGCACTGTTAGGAGGGCAGTAACCAACCAAATTATCCAACTCTTCACTGGTAATAGATGGCGGATGATGGCGGCCAAAGGCCCTTCCCTTCTTGAAAGCAATATGCAATCAGTGAAACCTCAAACAAGTATAGCAGAATGAATTCTTACCAGTTCTCTACATACCCACAACTCTTACCCCAGTCCAAACCTCTGGGGTTCAGCTTTTCCCTGGTCGCCTTCAGCCAACTGGGCCATGCTCTCGTTGGAATCGCTCCAAGTTGCTGCGGCTTCGTTGGGTCAGTGCGTGATTCGGACCATGGAGCTCCTGCCGCGGCCAAGGCTCGGGCGGAACCTGCGGAGTTGATCGGAGTTGAGGAAAGAAACGCGCGACTTTGATCGAAGAACCTTGAGGATTTCACAGGTATAGATTGCTGAGATGCTGCAATCTTTGCATACAGTAGCTACGGAAAACAGAAGACTTCATTCGTTTGTCACAGCACTGAACACTGAGTGGTCTCAACATGGGAAGTGCAGACAGCTTCATGTGGAATGCAATCAACGGTCAGTAGCGTGATCTGCCGTCAATCTGCGTGCCATGGTGATCTCAGAACCCTTGACCGGGTTGGCCCTTGCCAGACCTCCAAACCTTGCAAATGTCGGACATATAGCTGGCCCGCCTGAACACGAGCGGGAAAAATGGATATGACCATGTATATTCACGAAACCATCGGTGAGCCATGAATCTTGAATGAACCTCTGCAAGGGCGAACATGATTTTAAAAACCAACTTACGTAATCATCACAGAAGCGAAGCGCCCTGCCTCCATGAAGGAGCCTTTAGCCTCCAAAAGGTCTGCCAGATTAAAGACCGAGCGGAGGGTGTCAGGATGCCCGAAGCCGAGCTGAGATTCCCGTCCATTCAACGATCTTCGATACAGCTGCTCGGCCTCCCATAGAGGTTGCAGCTGCTGCAGGCACCTATGTTTTTAAAAGGCGGTCTTGGTATATAATCATGGAACATGCATACACCAGTTTGGTAAAGAACACATTGTTAGGCAGGACTCTGGTCATTTATGGAATCTCTGTGGTTGCCCAGCTCTCCCTGCGTAGATAGTCATGAGTGCTAGCGGTTTCCCGTCTTTACCGCGTCTTGAAGTCTTGAAATAGTTACTTGACCTCACCAACAAATCGGCTGAAGAGTGACAATGCAGTGCACTGCAGTGCAATACAGTGCAAATCAACAATTAGCCACCAAGAATGTCATTGAGTGGCAAAGAATTGGGGTCGGCCGCAATTTAGCAGGCCCTACAACCCCAAACGGCAAAAAGAGGGGTGTGGAAAAGTAGCAAAAGCAGCTGACCTCGAGGAGGCAGCCCTAAGGATTGGAAGGCACCAGCACTGGGCGGCACCGTGACTGTCTCCCGCACTTTGTGTAGGGAGGAAGAAGGAAAAGAAATCGCCGGCAAGCTCTCCGATGACTATGTCCATACAGGCGGCAATAGGAGCTTCTCACGTAAATGCTGCTTCGGCTCGTCGGTGCAGAACAGCACGTGCACGGTAAGCTCGAGCCGTGACACTGAGTTCCTGCACCAGCTGCCCTTCCAGCTGGGCAGCATCGCTACCTTCCCGAGCGGCAACAGCACGAGCCACCCGTTTCAGGAACGCTGCAGACTGAGGTTCCCAAGCCCCAGTCGTTTCAGCAACCAGGGGTGTAAACCGGATCCCTTGTGAACGGCACACCTCAGCAGTCTGGAGATGCGCCATTTTCGTCCCCGCATAGGCAGTCGCCGCGGCCAACGCTTGCCGCGACGCCGTACCGAGGGTCTCCTGCCGCTGTGGGGCTGTGAAAGCCAAATCTAAATGCAGTGGGAGATCCAAGATACGACGACACGAACAAGTCCGCCGGTCGCCGCCCGCTCAAGTGGTGTTCATCCACTGCTGAGGAAGGAGAAGCCCCGGCTTCTCCTTTTCTGGTTGAAAGCCAGCACGGGTGGTCCAGGTACATAGGAGGTCACGGACAGCGTGGTGGCGGAGAGTTCTCTCGCCGCCAGCACAGCAAGTGGCGGCGTGGTAGGAGTGGCTGTGCAGCACCCCGTCGCACTTTGGGCACCACGCATCAGTGGCAGAATCGGGAACTCCAAGGCGATGCCGGAGCTCTGCGCAAAAGGCTGCTGGTTCCATGCGAGTGCGACCACTGGGGATAGTGGCCAGGAAGGCCCGTGCTCCGGGCTCGGCCTCTGAGCGAAGGGTTGCTTGAAAAACTGGTGGGGCAGCGGCCAATTGCTGCTCCCAGCTGTGTTTGTCGAGGAGCTGGGTGAGCTCGTGCTGCCGTTTGCTGAATACTTGGTCGGCCGTCAAGGGAATCGCCAATGAGGAATTGAAAGCTGCCAGAGCTTCTTGGACAGGGCAGTGTGTACCCAGCGCGGTGTCCACGTATCCTGGGTCAAGGGCAGCCGCGTGGGAGGAGGTGGCCCCCACTGAAGCAAGGTATGCGCTCGCAGCATCACGACTTACAGATCGGAGCCCAAGCCCCGCCTGCGCGAAGGACCGCCCTGCTTGCGTCCACTGGGTTTCATCGAGGTGAATTCCACTGAAAGAGCTGAAGCAGCTTCGGACCGCCAAGTCGAAGTCAACTAGGGCCGCCTGCTGGGCCAGTGGTGGGTTGCACCGGACGCTGTGGGTCAGGCGGGCGTGCCCAGCACAGGAACGCAGGAGGCGCAGCGCGACTTGGCTGTCTTCAAACTCACCGATGGCATCCAACAATTTGCCAGCTGCAGCTGCCCGGGCGGCAGTGTGCGCAGCGACGAAAGAGGGCTCACCAATTATTGCAGCTCCGAGGAATTCGAAGTTGCGAAGGAGGCGGCTGTCGCCGGCTGGTGTTCGGAGGAGGCTGTCTAGGAAATGGGCGGTCAGCTGGGCAGCGTCAACCCTCTCCGACCCAACCACTTCGCACTTCGGTAGGTTCAATTCCAAGCCGAGTTCGGCGCATCGCTGCTGCACATGGCGGAGCGCATTGGCAACGTCAGGTACATCGCCTGCAAGGAGCCCGTCATCCAAGGCGAGGTCCAATGGGCTGTTCCGAAGCTCGGTGGCCAAAGGTTGCAGAGCTGTCGCAAAGAGCAAGGGCCCAAGCGGGTCGCCTTGTTGGACACCGCCTGCTCGAGTCACCAAATTGGAGGTGGGAGGGGGCTCCATAGCACCAAGTTACCCACCGGGCCAGCTCCGGGAACTGTGACCGGACATGGTGTAGCACCTGCTGCCTGGACACAGTGTTGAAGGCGTTGGTGAAATCCAGCTTCAGGAGAACTTTGTTGGCAGCATCACGGTGTCTTGTGGCCCAGGCCCGGACCGCGTGCACCGCAGCTTCAGCCCCAGCTGGCACTGTCACTCCCACTTGGGCTGGGAAAAGGTGTTCGCGAGCCCTGCCACGAACCGATTCCATCAAGCACTTGCCCGTGAGGCGCCGCAACACCTCGCCAATGGCTATCGGTCTGACCCCCCCGCGCGGCTTTGGGACAGCCACCAAACTAGCTCCAGCCAAGAAGGGGGCGGCTGCCACGCATGCTTGGCCGTTGCTGAGAAGTGCCACGATGGCAAGGAGGTGGTCGATGAACGCATCAGTGCTGCCCGGGAGGCACGCGTCTCGGAGGTGCTGAACTCGCAGGCCGGACGGGCCAGGTGCCGTGGAAGCCGGGAAGCTTCGCAAGGCGCGGCTGACCGCAGCTGGGGTGAGGTCAGGGCCAAGGGGGAAGGCCTCCATCGGACAGGGTGTGGGAGTGGGCTGGGCAGGGTGGAGTGCGCGGAGCTCAGCCACTGTTTCAGGGGTTGCAGGGCACAGGCCTTCGGCAAGAAGAGCTGCACAAGCCTTGCCGTCAAACCCTTCCCTCGCCAACCCCAGGGCAAAGTCCCGCCTTTCTGCCGCTGTTCGGTGGCCGCCATGTCCCACAAGGTCATTCGCTCGCCGGCTTCCCGCCGCTGGAGCGATCGACCGTGGAGGCCGCTGCGGCTTTGGCATGTTTGTGGCCCGCCCGACGCGGCGCGTCCAGGACAGCCTGCGGGAGCATGAGAAGCTCCTGCCAGCTGCGGGCGCTGTTGGTGTGCGCTGCGGTGGCCAAAGCCCTGGAAAGGGTCCGTGACCAGAGTGGCCGGGCAGCGGCAGGAATATGTCGAAGAGTTCTTGTTTGGCCCGCCTGTATGGTTGAGAAGGTCGGGAGGTCAGGGGCGACTGCAGGGCTGGAGGGAGGCCCTGCTGCGGCGCGAAGCGCCGGTTGGCAGGTAGGATGCACGGCCCGCCGGGCCGAGACACTGAGGCCGCACACCAGGCATCGAGTCCGGTTGTTGGCTGAGAGCCAGGCAGCCAGGACCTCCCCCTGTAGAGTTCCAGCCAGGTGGGAGTCGATGTGCGCTTGCAAGGATGCCACGGATTGCCACCCCCGGTGCCGGGCAGGATCGCCACACAAGCACCCCAGCACAGGGCAGAAGATTCGGCTGGTCGTCCATCCTCCACTTGCATGGGCTGGGAGTGCGAGGAGCCGCGGGGGCGAGGCGAGTGGCTCCGGAGGCGAGGCCGCTCACCGCCCACCGGCGTGCCGGGGGAGGGTGCCATGGACGTGAGCCGCAGCGGTGAAAGTCGGGCCAAGCCAGCACGCCAGAGGTCGCAGACGTGGGTCCAGCCCGGCCTAACGATGACCGCCGCAGCTCGGCTGCCCCCCTCGAGCTGAAGGTACCGACCAGCACGGGGGAGACAGCATAGTTACTTGCCATGAGTCTTCTCCTCAGATTCTCATAATGAGCAAGTGGTGGTGATTATGAGAATTGTGAAGGTCATCAGAAAACTGGAGGTTTGACAAGTTCCCAAACTTCACTTCTTGCAAGAAAACTGACGAGTGTCAGTTGGAGTGACTAACAGGAATTCTGGGCAAGCGACCCTTATGTTCATGTTCGCTGAATTGGATCAAATTCGCCAAAACGTGTCCACATGTGGGCAGGCATCAACTCACGTTCCCTCATTCCTCCAATGAGAATGGGAAGACAGAAACGTCACTGGTCGCTCATCCTGGCCAGATTAGAAATGCTTTCCCCTCGACACTTCCGCAACCTCCGTCTACCACAAAGACCTCGGCCCGGCCTCCTCCAGCTTGCCCTGCTTCTGCAAGAGAACGGCCAAGTTGTGCACTGAAGTGAGCGTGTCCGGGTGTTGGGGTCCCAGTTGGGATTCTTTCCCTTCCAAGGCTCGCCGGTGCAGCCCTTCTGCCTGGCAGCATGGAGCGCTAAGGTGTCGAAACATGAGAAGTGCCCCAGGTCTCGTGGCTTCACGCCCTGTATTCATTGCGGTATGCAAACTCACACACCGGGTTCTTCAAAAAAACAGCCATCCTCCGACATGCTGTCACATCACACCTGATCCCCCCCCGCCCCCTTGATCAATGTTGTTGCCCAATGCATGCCGGCATCCGAACCGAAATGGCTGTTTTTTTTGAAGGCCTTTCCAAGCAAAGCGATGTAGCAACATTGAATTGGGGGAAAGGGGGCATGCAAGTTTCTTCGCAATGAGTTTGACAGGATGGCTGCTTTTTTTGAAGAACCCGGACTCAGTCCGGGAAAGATTTTTTGGTTTATGGATGTGCAAACACAAGCTTGAACAAACTCCCTTTTGCATTTGCCAAAACCTCAATCCAAACACACTTTCATCTTCAAAGCTTCTACCCAGCAAACAAAGAAGCACAAGATTTATCTTTTTGGGTTGATGGCTTTGCAAACGCAAGCTTGTGCACGTGCCAAAACCCAATCCAAACACACTTTCATCTTCACAGCTGTTACCCACAAACAAAGAATGTTCCTCCACGCCTCCAGAAGCAGAATTGCACAAACTGCGTGTTTTGCGCAGTGCACGTACAGTGCACGCACAGTGCACGGTACAGTGCACGCCGCAGTGCACGGCCACAAAAACGCTGTAAATACCATGGGATTAGCGTTTCGTTGAAAATTTTCAAAAAAAAGAAAAACATATTTTGTTTGTGTTCTCATCATTTTTGGGAAAATACGTGGTAGGTAAAATTTACAGCGTTTTGTGGCCGTGCGCTGTGGGGCGCACTGTAGCGTGCACTGTGCGTGCACTGTGCAAAACACGATGTTTGTGCCCCCTTCTATTTTCAGCAGCAGAGCGCTGCAATTCTGCTTCTGGAGGTGCAGAGGCACATTCTACATTAGTGCACCATGCAAGACACACAGCTTCCGATCCACAATTTTTGCCCACATGCGGAGCAAATGCTGCAATGTTGCATCTTTGTTTGTGGGTAGCAGCTGTGAAGATGAAAGTGTGTTTGGATTGGGTTTTGGCACGTGCAAACGGGAATTTGTTCAAGCTTGCGTTTGCAAAGACATAAACCCAAAAAGATAAATCTTGTGCTTCTTTGTTTGCTGGGTAGAAGCTTTGAAGATGAAAGTGTGTTTGGATTGAAGTTTTGGCAAATGCAAAAGGGAGTTTGTTCAAGCTTGTGTTTTGCACATCCATAAACCAAAAAATCTTCCCCGGGTTCTTCAAAAAAAACAGCCATCCTCCGACATGCTGTCACATCACACCTGATCCCCCCCCGCCCCCTTGATCAATGTTGTTGCCCAATGCATGCCGGCATCCGAACCGAAATGGCTGTTTTTGTTGAAGGCCTTTCCAAGCAAAGCGATGTAGCAACATTGAATTGGGGGAAAGGGGGCATGCAAGTTTCTTCGCAATGAGTTTGACAGGATGGCTGCTTTTTTTGAAGAACCCGGTATCAATCTCAATTCCGTAGTTTTGGTGGGTTGCCAATGTCAACCAGGAAATGATTGGGAAATATTGGGAACAGCTTCTTGGATGAGGATTGCCGAGAATTTGCATTTCATTAATTTGCTCGATTTTTTTTGGGTTGTCAGTTTCAACTGAAAGTAACAATTTTGCGGATGGGGGTCCAGCCATGTACTACTTTCATTCGCGTGAATAAATGTGCATTAGTTCGCCCAAAAATCATCCAACAATACCGGGAACAAAGAGAAAATCCAGGCCTCATGCAGAGGGCACCCTGCAAATAAAAACAACTAATTACTTCATTGGCCTTCATTGAACTGGGTTGGCATCACTATCCTGTTGGTTCCCAAGTGTCACTTCACAAGCCACGCTTGCTTGTAGAGCGAATCTTGAGAAGTCTTCAGATGTGGTGAACTCTCTTGAAGGGGTGATGAGGGTGATTATACTTTCATGAGTTTATGCTGAAGGCGGGCACATGGTCAGGAGGTGTGGGAAACAAAAGCAAATAAGTATAATACTAGACGACGGTTGGCCCGAGAGCGAAAAAGACGTTTTTCAAGCAGCTCTGAGTATGGTAGTCGTAAAAAATAGTCGGTGAATGGTTGGTGAATTTTATATGAGCTATGGAGGGGTAAGTTGTGAAAAGTAAGATTGATTAAGAAGAGGATACATGTGACAACCCATGCATATGCACTGTGCTGCTTGGTAAAGGGCATCATATGACACGTGTCTTGCAACCACAGAGAGACATAGATAGAGAGAAAGGGGGAGAGAGAGAGAGAGAGGAGAGGGAGAGAGAGAGAGAGAGAGAGAGAGAAAGAGGGAGAGGGAGAGAAAGAGGGAGAGAGAGAGAGCAGGGTCTTCTGTTGTTAGTATTGAGACACTATATTGCAAGACAATATAGTAAAGATGTATTTTAGGCAGGCGAGACAAGTAGTATCAAGACAATATATTACAAGTACAAAACACTAGTTTGCATCCTATCCTTCGTATTGTTTTTCACACACAGAACCTCTTACACACAGACGCTTTTGCACAGAAGCTGTTACACACAGACGCATTTACACACATACGCTTTTACACACAGAAGCGTTTACACACAGACGCATTTACGCACATACGCTTTTACACACAGAAGCGTTTACACACAGACGCTTTTACACACAGAAGCTTTTACACACAGAAGGTTTTACACGCAAGCACTAGACACTTTTACACACAGAAGCTTTTACACACAGACGCCTTTACGCACAGACACTAGACACTTTTACGCACATAGGCTTTTACACACAGACGCTTTTACACGCAGATGTTTTTAGATACACACACACACGTTCACACACAAACGCTTTTACACACAGACGCTTTTACACACAGAAGCTTTTACACACAGACGGTTTTTACACACAGACGCTTTTACACACAGACGCTTTTACACACAGACACTTCTACCCACAGAAGCTTTTACACACACACGCTTTTCTTTTACACACACACACACTTTCAAACACAGAAGCTGTTACACACAGAAGCTTTTACACACAAACACTTTCACACACAGAGGCTTTTACACAGAGGCTTTTACACACAGACGCTTTTACACACAGAAGCTTTTACACACAGACTCCTTTACACACAGACGCTTTTACACACACACAGACGCGTTTACACACAGAGACTTTTACACACAGACGCTTTTACACACAGACACTTTTACACGCAGACGCTTTTACACACAGGCGCTTTTACACGCAGATGCTTTTACACACAAACACTTTCACAGACGCGTTTACACACAGAGACTTTTACACACAGAGACTTTTACACACAGACCCTTTTACACACAGACGCTTTTACACACAGACGCTTTTACACGCAGATGCTTTTACACACACACACTTTCATACACAGAGGCTTTTACACACAGAAGCTTTTGAAGAGTGTCTCTATATGACATTTTATGGTCCTGAACTCAAACTGTTCTGTTTTTGACATCAAGCACATGATGGCATCGAGCTCTGTTGCAAACGTTTGCAGACATTTCACTAGTGAAGTATTGTCACATGTGTCATTTACAGCATCATGGTACCGATCTTTTTTGGGCCATTTATGTGGGATTTTCCATAATAAAATGAAATAATATGTGTCATACACAGCATCATGGTACCGAGCTTTTTTGGGCCATTTCTGCGGGATTTTCCATACTAAAATGAAATGACATGTGTCATACACGGCATCATGGTACCGAGCTTTTTTGATAGTTTCTGTGGGATATTCCCAGAATAAAATGAGATAACGCGTGTCATTTACTGCATTATGGTATTGGACCTTTTTTTGTGCAAACGTTTACAGACATTTCACTAGTGAAGTATTGTCACATGTGTCATTTACAGCATCATGGTGCCGATCTTTTTTGAGCCATTTATGTGGGATTTTCCATAATAAAATGAAATAACATGTGTCATACACAGCATCATGGTACCGAGCTTTTTTGGGCCATTTATGTGGGATTTTCCATAATAAAATGAAATAACCTGTGTCATACACAGAGGCTTTTACACACAGAGGCTTTTACACACAGATGCTTTTACACACACACACACACTTACGCACAAAAACGCTTTTACACACAGACGCTTTTACACACAGAGGCTTTTAGACACAGACGCTTTTACACACAGACGCTTTTACACACAGACACTTTTACACACAGACACTTTTACACACAGACACTTTTACCCACAGACGCTTTTACACACAGACCCTTTTACACACAAACACTTTCACACACAGAAGCGTTTACACACAGACGCTTTTACACACAAAAACTTTCACACACAGAGGCTTTTACACACAGAAGCTTTTACACACAGAGCTTTTACACACAGACGCTTTTACACACAGACGCTTTTACACACAGACGCTTTTACACACAGACACTTTTACACACAGACTCCTTTACACATAGAGGCTTTTACACACAGAAGCTTTTACACACAGAGACTTTTACACACAGACGCTTTTTGCACACAGACGCTTTTACACACACACACACTTACACACACTAGACAAGACTGGATCATTATATGATCCGGCAGGAACTGAATCCTGAAACATGCAAATTAGACAGAAAACCAATAAATCTACGACGACTCCTACGAATAATGGAAGTTCACCTGAATGATCTCCATGACCTGAATCGACATCAAAAGGAATAGAATAGAATGGAACCAACAATAATAGCATCGGCGATGTCGTCGTCGGCGACGATTACCCAACCATATCGGCGACGATTGTATCGGCGATCATGTAAAGAAATTGTTCAAAACGTTCAGAGGAAGGTTCTGATGCAGAAAACCGAAAAATTCAAATGGACGACATGGAGGTTCTTGGGTTGAGCCTCTTCCCATTTCTGAAAAATTGGCAGGTACGTCACGGTGATCAGCCGTGATATCACAAGCATTGGATAG